ATCTTTCTTCAGGTATAGTACAAATTATTTATTTGGTATTATTATTAAATGAACAAATCCTTCCTTGTAATAGAAACACAGGGCCATGATAAAATAAATACGATTTTGTTTTTTAAACTCCAACATTGCATGTAGCCAGTGGAATTATGACAGCAAGTGAAGAATGTAAAATAAAGTCGGATTCTGACTAATCTACATGAAGGTACAAAGCCATCTCCATCATATAAACTGGCCAAGAAAAGATGCTAAGACAATCACTGCAATACAAAAAGAAAGTTATTAAAGCACATTTGGATCCTTCCTGGAGTACCCGAAAGGGAGCCACTTTCTGCCTGGCTGTGAGCATGTGACAGGGACTCTGTGGGGAGGGCCTGCTCCCACAGAGAATGACAGCCACCCTTCTAGAAGTGAGAGACAAGGAGAACAGCACACACAAAGAATCTGTCTGGTGAACTGCAGTTTGCTGGTGTTTGATGTTTTAGAGAGGGTTAATAATCAAAATATACACCTACATTGTCCAAGTTAATGAAGACACAATCCAGCTCCACAGAAACTGAGGGACAAGGATTCCTGTTGATCTAATAGCCTGGCTACCTTTAGACTTTGTAGAGCCCACTTTACATTCGCAGGGCGTCTCTGGGTGGTTAATACGCCAAGTTGCTAACTGAAAGTTGGCAGTTCGAGTCTACCCAAAGGCATCTCAGAAAACAGGCCTGATGATCTAAACCATACCAAACCAAACCTACTGCTGTCAAGTTGATTCCGACTCATAGTGACCCTATACGACAAAATAGAACTGCCCCATAGAATTTCTAAGGCTGTAACTCTTTACGAGAGCAGATTGTCTCATCTTTCTCCTGTGGAGTGACTGGTGGGTTCAAACCGCTGACCTTTTGGTTAGCAGCCAAATGCCTTAACCACTATCACCAGAGCTTCCAGCTTCATAATCTACTTTCAGAAAAGTCAGCCATTGAAAACACTGTGCAGCATAGTCCTCCTGTGATACACACTGAGTCACCATCGGTTGGAATCAACTCTACAGCTCCTGGTTTACATCCGTAGACCTTTGTACCCAACTCTTGGTACTTAACAACTTTATATCCCCTACGGCCTAGAGAAAAGTCTTACAGCAATTCTGAGTCTCTCTCCTTCTGAGTTAAGTAAATATCCTAAAATCATGCAAAAAATCAAAATTATTTCACTAGCCCTAAGAGAGACTGAGTTGCTGCAGAGGCCAATTTCTAGAATCTTAGAACAAAAACAAAACAAAAATGAAACTCATTGCAGTCCTGTTGATTCCAACTCCTATCAACCCTATAGGACAGAACTACACTGCCTTATGGGGTTTTCAAAGATGGTAATCTTTCCAGAAGAGTTCTGGTTGCGCAGTGGTTAAAAGCATTTGGCTTCTAACCAAAAGGTCAGTGGTTTGTACCCACCAGCCACTCTGTAGGAGAAAGATGAGACAATCTGCTTCTGTAAAGATTTATAGCCTTGGAAACCTTATGAGGCAGTTCTGTTCTGTCCTGTAGGGTAACTGTGAGTCACAATCGACTCAATGGCAATGGGTTTTAAATCTTTGCAGAAGCAGACTGCCACAGCTTTCTCCTATAGAGCAGCTGGTGGGCTTGAACTGCTGACCTTTTTGTTACCAGCAGAACTCTCAACCATTCATGTACCATCAGAGTGCCTTAGAATCTTGTAACAAAAAACCCATTACCATCAAGTTGATTCTGACTCAGAGTGACCCCCATTGGGTTTCTGAGGCAGTAAATCTTTAGGGAAGTAGATTGCCTAGTCTTGCTTCCTCAGAGTGGCTAGTGGGTTGGAACCACTAACCTTCTGGTTAGTAATCAGATGCCTTAGATACTGTGCTACCAGAGCTTCTTAGTCTTACAAGTGAAGTTTAAACATAGGTCATGTTTTTTTATCTGAAACTAAGTAAAATAAGTAATAACTAATGATTGAGAGGGAGCTCTGGTAGCATAGTGGCTAAGGCACTTGACTGCTAACCAGAAGGCTGACGGTTCAAACCCACCAGCCACTCCTCGGAAGGAAGGTTGGGCAATCCTACTTCCGTAGTGATACTGCCTGGGAAACCCAAGGAGGGTCGCTATGAGTCAGGGCTGACTTGACGCACATAACAACAACAATGATTGAGAGCAACATTGTATACATTTACACTATTTTGTAAGTTATCCTTTTGTTTATCTATAGGTTTTAAGTATACATAATGTGATGTCAAGGCTGACACAATTGTGTGAAACTGTACTCTGCTTCCCTAACTTTACCTCTAATAAAGAAAGGTCCCAGAGATCACAGGTCCGGACTCTCTCTCCTCCTTTTGTGGTAAAGTCCCTTGAAGGAAATGAATTCTGTCCCCACCTCAAAACAGTGCCCACTTACTGATCTTTCAGGCATAGTAGGCACAGTGCTCCTGCTCCGGCATAATTTTAGTGGTCCACAAAAAGGTTTTAATTTCTTTTCAATTAGAAAGAGAAAAAGGAACTTTCAGATCAAAGAAAATGTTATATAAGATGTTGCCTCTATAACAATGCTGTCATAAAATATTACAATATTCTATGGAGGAAGGCAAAAATGCCTAGGGTTTATGGAAATCATAATGCTGCCTTTCCTCACAAATATCTTTTGCTCATTCTCAAAAATGCCAAGTTCTTCTCAGCTGGGCAAAGTTCCCACCTTTTTGCAAAAAAATTGTCTTTTTTTATTACTATTTTTTGAAAGTTTGAAAGGCTCTTTTCCTAAAGGTTAGATTTTTAAAGAAGGATTTTAGAAAGGAAGAGATTAGAACTTCATTTGAGATCCTACAACTTTATAACCCAGACTAATGAAAAGAAACGCAGTCTCCCAGGCTCTCTTTACTGTGGATTGCAGGCAAAGTAGACTATCGCGCCTCTTTCTTGCTGTATTCCACGACTGTCCAGCAGGGGGCGCATGAGTCTCATTACCGGGGCCGCTCGCTCCCCAGCGCCGCAGGGACCGTATCCCTATTTGCCCCAAGGTCATAGCTCTTAACCGAGCTCGCTAGCTCGGGACCAGGGACAACAGGGAGTGAGCCTTCCGGACTGGGACCCGGGCAGCGGTGGGGCCGATGGGGCAGGGCGGGAGGCTCCGAAGCGAGGGATGGGATCACAATGGGGCCCGGAGACGAAAGGCACTGGGGGCCCGGGTCCGGAGCCGTCAGCGCCGCCGCCAGATCCCGCGCCGGGTGGGGGATGGGGTGCGCGTAGACGCTCCGCACCACAGTCGGACGGAGGAGCCCGGGAGCCGCCGCGGCCGCGCCTGCCGAGCGCTCGGGGGCAGGCTGCCCGCCCG